ACTCTGATTTCTAAGCTGTTGCTCTGGCCACAGCTGGAAGGACAGAATGAAGGGGCCAGGCAGGACGGGAGGAGGGGCTCCTGCACCTATTCAGGTGAGAGGCGGTGCAGCAGCAAGTGCAGGGCAGCAGGAGGCAGTGCCACAGGGCTCCGTCTTGCTTTGCATCAACAGCTCTTTGAGCCTGGGTCCTGTCTTGAACTTCTTCAGGAAAATGTCCTTCTCTGTGCAACAGGGACCACCCTTCTACCAGGCTGTTGTGTGGATGAAATGCAATCCTAATGGAAAAGTGCCCAGGCCTGGTGCGGTGGCTCACCCCTGTAATCCTAACACTTTGGAAGGCCAAGGCAGAGAGATCATCTGAGGTTAGGAGTTCAAGACCAGCCTGGACAATATGGTGAAACCCCATCTCTACTAAAAATACAAAAATTAGCCCGGCATGGTAGCATGTGCCTGTAGTCCCAGCTACTCAGTGGGTGAGGCAGGAGAATTGCTTGAACTCAAGAGACTGAGATTGCAGTGAGCCGAGATCATGTCACTGCACTCCTGCCTGGGTGACAGAACAAGACTTGGTCTCCAAGAAAAAAAAAAAAAAAAAAAAAAAGTGCCCGACAGGGTCTGGCCTGAGTCAGTGTTTAGTACATGGCAACTCTGCATCTCCACCACTTTGCTTTATGGTTTTGCCGGCTTCTGAAAGCCTGATCATGCAGGGGCCAAGTTTGTTTTTCCGCAGCTGGCCTCCTTCCTCCCTTTAAGCATTGCACGTGTGTGTGTTTTCAGAACGACACATTTAAGAACCCATCTGCATCCCCATCATCTGCTCAGACCTTGGTTGCAGCAGATGACCCCCTCCAGCCCCTACCCATGCTTCTCCCTTCACTGTGCTGTGGGCAGCTGGTCTGCAATGGAGGCTGCAGTCCCTGGGCCCCACTGACCTCCACACAGAGGCAGTGCCCCTGCAGGCTGAAAGCTTCCATTCAGGGTGCTGGCCTGTGGATGCTGAACAGAGCCTCTATCCCACACATTTCAACTCAATCTTGAAGCACAAAAGGATATTATGTAAGCTTCAATTAAGGCAGAGCCCTCAACAGATCAGTTCTTAGAATTTTTCCTGCCCTTAGGCAAATCTGCTCCTGGTGAGCGGCTTTCATCTGGCTTTAAAAATTACTTCTGATGGGTAATCAAAGAGATTGCTGGTGCCCAGCTTATGCTAAATAAACCCATGTCTGGGTTCTGATTTGGGGGAAGTTGTTGTGTGTCCCACACTCCATGGAAAATTTGTTCCTGGTTGCTCTCTGATAAGACTGCACAAGGCTGCAAGATACCAAAACAGAATTTATCTGTCCCAGATAGTAATGACTTCAGCCAGCCTGAAGGGAAGCCGCATACTCTCTCAAGTTGGCAGTTCCTGTCAGAAGCATGGACAAGAAAATGGCTTTGTTTATTTCCAGCTTGATAAAGCCGACATAAATAGGTGCACTTCATTTCTGAATTACACACTCTTAATCTTATCACATAATAAACTGTTTGACCTCAGTTAATAGATGGGACATCATGAAATGTAAAGTGCTTGTTACAAGGAAAATTGCCAGGTACAGAATGCTGAGCAGTGAAGAGGGGGAGGAGGAGGAAGAGGGGGAGGAGGGAGAGGGGGAG